AGCGCTCGGGTTATACGAAACAGCACTCGACATCATGAAAAAAATTCTTCCTCTGAATCATCTCAACTTCGCTACTTCCTACAACAACATCGGTTCGGTATACCATAACACATGTGAGTATTCAAAAGCACTTTTATTTTACGAAAAAGCACTTGATATCAAAGAAAAAACTCTCCCTTCGATACATTCCGACTTGGCTACTTCCTACAACAATATCGGGTTGATGTATGATAATATGGGCGAGTATTCGAAAGCACTTTCATTTTACGAAACCGCACTCGACATCAAGGAAAAAACTCTCCCTTCCAACCATCCTTCATTAGCTATTTCCTATAACAACATTGGTTTGGTATATGATAGTAAAGGCGAGTATTCGAAAGCACTTTCATTTTACAGAAAAGCTCTCGATATCTGGCAAAAATCTCTCCCGCCAACGCATCCAAATATTGCAATATCGAAAAGAAACATTGAACTTGGAAAACGAAATTGTAAGTTCTTTTTTGCTACAAGAAATAAATTTCGTTCAACGTTTCCTTTTATTGGTTATGAACTTGTTTTCCTACAGAATATTGATATTTATGAGTGCGATGAGAGAGATGCCGAATCCTCTTGGGATAGTGCAGTGAAGGATGCTGGCTATGATCGAGCAGCCATACATATATGTGTGCCGTACGTACGAGACGACGACAGGGACACGGACGCGTGTCAAAGGTATCTGCATGTGGTAGTGCCTATATAAACTTCAAGTGTTTAAAAACACCATTTATTCTTGACATCATTACTGTCAGAGAATACATTTGAATCAAAATATTGTTCTTAGTTAGATACACAGGAAGAAAAAGAAAACATCCTACTTTCAATGAGAAATAAATCTAACACATAATTTAAAATACTAGAGACTTTGTTATTTCTAATTTATTTGATTGAATAACTTATTTTCTATTAATATGATATAATAGAATTTCATTATCTTTAGTAACATAAATATTTCTAATTGGCTAATATCAAGAAGAATACAGCTCTGAATTTTTTTGAAACATAAGTAGAAACCATTTAAAAACTTGTATTGATAATAATGGGCTTTCTTTCCAAAGTGGGTGTAGGATGAGTGTGGGTATGGGTGTTCACTTATTTTTACACTCACATCCACTCACACCCACACCCTTAACTATCTACGCTTATATCGAGCATATTTAAGATAAAATTGATGTTAAGTATCGCGATCACCGTCATTCTAGATCCAGAAGCACAAAAAAAAAGAATTTAATTAACTTTTAGCTTATCTTAGCTGTACGGAAAACGATAAAAATAGCAGGCATATACGAGAGTTATAACAAATATGTTGCTTACTAAATCAAATTTAATCAATTTTTTTCTGCTTTCGACTAGTTCTTGTGGATGCACGTTTCCACATCGATTTTTCTGTCCACGATTTAGTTAGGTATTTTATATCGAAAAGTTTTGTGTTGATTAAAAAATTGTGTTATTTTGCTCACCATTAAGGAACGATCGCCCTCATTTATTTTTCAATTTTCAATCTTCTCCGATTTTTTTCCTCAAAATCTTTTAATGATTTTTATAGATCGCAGAGTTCTGTACAAGATGCGTTTCTTAAAATTTTTCTCGATCTGCTACCATTTTAAAAAAAAGGAATATTAATTTGAAAAACTTGATAAAAAATCTATTACAAATGTTTTCATTCATCTTGACAGTATCACTTGCATGAGCTGTTGCTTAAAACCTAATGGTAAAATAGTGCTAGAGCTATAAGCGAAACAATTGAGATACCTTTCGATTTTTCAGTCTCTTTGATGTTTCGATAGTTGCAAATTCCATCAAACTCAATCTTAGAACCCAAAACAATTCTTCATTATCATTGTTTTCTATAAGGGATTGATTGATGCGCTAATGTAAAGCGTTCCATAAACATATTAAGTAATAAGGTACTTAACTCTTCTTTAAATTTAGTTCTCTAAATTTATCAACAGGAAACCCAATACAATATGCTAAAGAGATGAGCATAGCATATGGTTATTTGACTGTCCTAGTATTCTGTTCTCCTCTGAAGGAAAAGTGATTCGAAGATAGGACAAGATGCACACAATCTAGTCCTGTACTTTTATGTAGTTTTTTTTCCACAGTGTTCGTATAGCATAATATCTATTCTATTCGGTGATACGTGATACTCGCGATAGGTTGTAGGTGTCACTAATCAGATGACGAACAGCGCTAATCTCAGCATTGGTGGATAAAATTATCAAATCACGAACATAAAATATTCAACAGGAGAAGAATTATAAATAAATAACCAACACAAATCGATTGTTAGGTATACACTCGTGCTCCAACAGATTACTCGTTTTTTTTCTTAACTCTCTATTTTTGTTCAATTTTGTTCCAAGATTTCTGACATATTCAAAATACGGTGCTACATGGATTTAATTGGCATCCGAGATGAGCATCGAAGAGAACGGGGCAGCCGTCCTGTCCTAGGAGACAGAAGAGGACAGAACAAACAAAGTTTTCCTGTACTCATTTCTAGTCCACCATATTCGTCAACAGTTTCTTCGAATACTTATTATCGAAGATCACGTCCAATGCCATCAATTACTACAGCAAATGTTACATCATTAACAAAAGCTATTGAATCAGGTAGTATGAATATGTCAAAAGGAAATTATAATCCAATACGATCATCGAGTCGTAATATTCAACCATCACCTGAACGACCAATAAAAGCCAGTGTAAAAACTATACAACGAACTAGATTACCAAGTCAAGATCGATCAGAAAGTTTTAATCAAATAAATTTTTCTTTTTAATCAAAGTTTTTTTTTTGTTTTTTAGAATTTGATAAAAACTAATGTTGCAAATAATTATACTGTAGAACATGTATCAAATCCAACAGTTACTGTTTATAGTATAGCATCTGTACCTCAATCAACGCATTATAAAAATAATGAGTCTACAATTTCAGAAACTTCAATAGATGAATCAAGATTAATCAACGGTGGTTTATGTGGTCTTCAGAATTTAGGAAATACTGTAAAATCTTGAAAATATATCTTTAAAAAAAATACAGTACTTATTGATTTTTAGTGTTTTATGAATTCGGTGCTTCAATGTTTGTCAAATACAAAACCACTTTTATTATTTTGTTTACAAAATAATCTTGAGAATTACTTGAATACATCAACCACAAGTGTAATGAAAGGAGCTTTAATGCAAGGTTTGAAAACATAAAAACAATAATTTGTTTTGTATCTTAAAATTTTACATGAATTAATTATTATAGAATATGCAAATTTAATTCATAAAATGTGGCTTTTACCAGAAGATCGATCGGTTGTGAGTCCATTATCATTTAAAAATACAATTGGAAAATTTGCTCCACGTTTTACTGGTTATTCGTATGTACAATTTTCTTTATATTTAAAAAGACAAATCAAGCTTTGTTTTGCTTTAGAGAACAAGATTCACAAGAATTTTTAAGATATCTTTTACAAGGTCTTAGCGAAGATGTTAATCGAGTACGACAAAAGCCAGTACCAGTTATAGTTGATGAAAAACAAGAGGAGCGAATGAGGTAAACATAAAGATTACATATATATATATATATATATATACAAGCTGCTGAATATGTAAAATTAGAGCAGAAGATATTTTATTCTTTTCTTTAAATATATTTCGATGGACCGTGACGAGTTAATCGAGAATATGTGCTTTTTCAATTTTTTCATCTCTTTTGAATATTAAAACTGTCTGGTTCAGGTTTAGCGTGAAAAGACTGAATCTAGCAAACTTGTGTATAAATAAATATTATAGATTGAATTATTTTGCACTAAATTTGAAATTTAAAGGAAACGAAAAACTTGAATATTGATCGGTTTCTTAGAAAAAAGTAGATCATCTGAAAAAAAATAAGAGTTTTCTACTAAAAACCCTATTCCAAATAATGAAAAAACACATATTCTTGATCAGTTCGTAAAGTTCTATCTAACCATGCATAAAGAGAAAAATAAAAACAAAACTTTTCCTTTAATTTTGCATATCTGGCACTTTCTATAGAGGAACTGAGTAACGAAAAGAACTTCTTATAAAGGAGAGTCTAGTAAAAATAATCTCGAAAGTGGCATTGGCTACTAAGATAAGAATTTTATAGATGAAACATCACTTGGAATAGCTGAATACTTGATGTTGACAATTTTTTTTCATGGTTGGTTTTAATATTACTTGCTTAGACAAAACGTTCATGTATTTTTTAACCTTTCGAAAGAATCTAAAAAAATTTGAAAATATTTAGTCAGAATCAGAATTTTCGTGTTACTTTAGAATATCGGTTCAAAATTTTTGTAGGACTTCCGGCTTAACAGTTGTGTACTGGTCCTTTAGATATCTATAAATTAAGTATGGACGAATTTTTGCGCGAGTCAAAAAGCACCTTAAGTAAAGGCGAAAATTATTTCAAACACCACAAATAAAAGAGTAAACATTTCTTAGTAATATGGTATATTAATGATTTGTTAGCTTTAAATCATTTGTTATCAGCGAGTGTTTTAGTAAGGAACACCATGTAAATTTAGGTCATTTTTTTTTAATTTCTATAGAAAACAAACTTGCAATGTGATTCTAGCTATTCCTGAAGGCTTGTTTTGAAATTATGCAATAAAATATCAATTTTCTCTGTCCCAACTTAATTTTCGTGTCTCTAAAATATCAGCTCATAACTCCTGAATGTGACGTCCTCCGAAAGTTTTAAACCAATATTCGAAAAGAACACAAAATTCTGGCTCTAATACCATATTTTCAAATTACTTTTCGATCATCTGATATATGCTATCAATAGATAAGTTCATATAAATCCAGGTAGCTCCCCAAATTATTCATACTCAAATTCGATGTATTATTAATTTTATATTCGTTTTTTGTTTACGGATTATCAAATATTTTCTTTCTATTTTATTGTTCTCTTTTAGAGAAAGAGATCGTGCAAAAGCAAGTTGGGATCGTTGTTTACGTTATGAGAATAGTCCCCTTGTTGGTACGTATCAACCAAACTTATTTTATTTATATATATATTAATTTTTTTAATTTAAGATATTTTTGCTGGACAATTAAAAAGTACTCTTGAATGTTCTTATTGTGGATATCAATCAATAACATTTGATATGTTTTGGGATTTATCATTACCTTTACCACGTGTAAAAATATAAAGAAAAAAGAAAACAAAAGAATGAAGCACTTTAAAATCTCATTTGTTTTTAGAATAGATCATCGACAACTTTACAAGAATGCATTCAATTATTTATGAGTAAAGAAGAACTTAATGATGATGAAGAACCAGTACATTAAAAATCTTTTTTTTTCATTATTCATTAATTTTAATTTCATTTAATTTGATTTAGATGTGTACAAAATGTAAGAAAAAACGTCCATGTACAAAACAATTATCAATTCAAAAATGTCCTGAAATACTTGTTCTTCATTTAAAACGTTTTTCACAAACACGTGGTAGAACTAAATTAAATACACATGTAGATTTTCCAATAACGAATCTTAGACTTGATGGCTTAACAGATATTATGTCTGAAAGTCATGAAGGTAAAATTCGAAAAAAAAAAATTTTGTTTTTAAACTTCATATTTAAATATTCCAGGACCAATCCCGACATATAATTTATTTGGTATATCAAATCATAGTGGTACAGTTTATACTGGTCATTATTTAGCTCAATGTAAACATCCATTTACACATAAATGGCATGAATTTAATGATTCAAATATTCATTTAATAAATGATATTTCAACAATAATATCTGCAGATGCTTATGTTTTATTTTATGAACGAAAGAGTTTTTAAAAACATAATGATTTTATATTTTGTTTTTTTTTAATCAATTTGCAGAAGAATTTTCATTTTATTTTTTTGTATTTATTTTTTGGTTTGAGATCTGAGATCTTCTAAATGATGAATTTTATTAACCTCGTTCAGTTTTTGTTTGCTCCTTGTTGTTTTTTTCTGCTATCTTTACCAACAAACCAATTTTCTGTGTGCATGTTTGAATGCGTGTTTGCATTTACCATCGCTTTAGTAACTTTTATCGAAAAAAACAATAATTCGATTTTTTTTTTATTTTCTCCTTTTTTTCATCATCTGTAGTGATTTGTTTCAATTGTTTTTAGAAATTTTTCTAATTACATTAAAAAAACAAGTAAATTGAGAAAAAAATAACTTGAGTTGAACAGAATTTACGCTAAAAGATATTGATATTACTAAGATACATTATGAAGACTATAATTTCTTTTATTAACATGAGAAATACAATACTCATCTTTCTTTATAGATATAAATTTTAAAAAATGAAGATTCCTAATTTTATTTCTGATTGTATCAATATGACTTATCAATATCTAATGTCTTCAGACGGACTTTTAGTAAGTGTCAACTTTTCGTTTTTCATTGATATGCAGGTTTTAATTTTGATTTAATTAGATATTTGGAGATCGTATGGAAAATACAATTGTTGGTTTTTGTTTATTCATTGTTGTTATTCTACTTTATTATCTTATCCGACGATCTCAAGCGAAAGCACGATGTAAATATAATCTTTGAAATATAACGACATGCTGTTTTTCTTTTTATAATATTTATTTTAGCAACTGAAAGCCCAAATCGATTTCGTAAACGTGATAAAGTTCTTCATTATGGAAAAAGATTTCTTCGAACAGTAAAAAACAGTTGATTCTCTCTGAAATCTCTGAATAATTTTTTTTATCTTTGATAGATGCGATCATATTCATCAACAGCTCGAAATCGAATTCGACGTAAAACAAAAAGGTAGTAGAACAAAAAAAAGAAATCTGACAAATGTTTTATTCTATTTTTAATATAGATCACATCAACAAAGAGCATCATCCGAATTAGGCTACACATTACCACGTAAACCTCCTGAATTCTTACTTGATACTGACGGTGACACAACAACTACATCAAATCAATATCAGATTCCACCTGAAATACTTTATTTATTAAAAAGTGTCAAGTATGTTGATGTGTTCACATTTTAAATCAATTAAATGAAATAAGGCTTTTGTTTTAAAGAGTTTTTGGTCATTTTGAACGACCTATTTTTCTTGAACTGTGCAAATCTTTGGAAAGTAAAGTAGTTCTTGCTGGTGCTTATCTTTTTCGTATTGGAGATGCTGATGATAGTTTATATGTTGTACAAAAAGGACTTTTACATGTATTTATTACTGATGAAGTAAGATTGATAACGTTTCTATATTTTGTTAATGTATTCAAAATAAAAACCAAACACAAAATTTTTAGAGACATCATCGACATTTAATAAAAGAATGTGTTGAAAGTGATACAGTTTTTTCTCTATTAAGTATGGTCGATGTGATGACTGTAAGTATAAAACTAAAATTTGTTTCATTCTTATTGTTTTTATTAATACGACAGGGTCAAAGTAAACCATTTAAAACTGTTAGTTGCAAAGCAATCGAAGATAGTGTTGTACTTAAATTACCAGCTATAGCTTTTCTTAATGTATTCAAAGAATATCCTGAATGTATGGTTCGAATTATTCAAGTGAGTTTTTATAGTAACAAAAAACGGAAGAAATAAAAAAGAAAGGATTCATTAAGCGATGGAATCGGTCGTTTTTCGAAATTGAGTTTATTATTTCCCGAATAGTCAATTAAGCTGTTAGGGGTCAACTACTCGTTGGATTAGACCATTAGACTTCATTCCAGCTGCGAGCGGTTGACTCAAAATATGATATTATCGATCTTCTATAGTGTTATATAATACAATGTTTATGTGGAAAGTTTGTTTTCCTTCTTGACCTTCCTTTTAATTTGGCTAATATATCAAATGCAAGTTTTTTTCTTTATGAAGCACCATAGAGGAGTATGACAAAATGTTGTTCTTGGCCTTTTTCTTTTAAATGATACTGTTTTCTTGTACGTCCAATATGAGGATATCTATGAGAAAACTGTCTCACTATTGTGCTTTGAAAGCAGTGATCCACTTTGAATCATATATCATTCGATAGGCTTTTCGAACATTTATATAAGAAGTCATTCAAAACGTCAGTTTGACTGTAAAAAATCATTTCTAAGCTTTTAAACGTCTAGAAAAATTCAAAGTGACGAATGAATAAATAAGAAAAATGATGTTTTGATTGCCTGTATTTCTTGACATAATTGCAAGGGAACTAGGGCTGAATTTGTGGATGAAAATAAAAGGTTTCGAAGGGTTGTATGACACATATAGATTGACTCAGTTCTTTATGCTTATTCCAAATATATCGTTTGTATTGATCGAGAATCTCATTATTATCATCGAAATCCGTCAAAGACTATTCAAAAAGGGCAACCTTTACCACTTATGAACATTGTACCTTTGACTGATGTGTCTTGGTCATAAATAAAGCTGAACACAATAATATTATTTTATGGATCTTCGAAAAGTCTATCGAATCATGCATAAGATTCAAAGTGAATCGTTACTTTCATAGCTCAAAAGTGAGAAAGTTTTCCTGTGCGTATCCTCATATTGGACATACAAGAAAACAATATCATCTAAAAGAAAAGATCATGAACAATATTTTTTCACACTTCTATATATTGCTCGATAAGAAGAAACAAAAATCTTTCAGTTGATGTATTAGTCAAATTAAGGGAAAGGTCAAGAAGAAAGACTAACTTTTCATATAAACACTATATTGCATAACACTACAGGAGATCGACAATCTCGAATTCTGGATCTGCTGCGCGCACCCGGCATGAAACTTAACGATCACATTTGAACGGCAATGAACTTTTGAAAAAATAATAAAATCAATTTCGAGAGGTCATCGGTTCTGTCGGTTGGCAACCGCTTTCCTTTTTTGAATTGTAACAGTTTTTGATAAGACTTCATGTCATATAATAGATATTGATGATTCGACTTCAACGGGTAACATTCCTTGCACTTCATAATTATTTGGGTTTAACAACTGAATTAACTCATTCAGATTATGTCCCTTCACAAGGTGAAACTACACATGATACACATGATAATCATCATAAACGAAATCATCAACGAGATCATACTCATTCTAAAACCATTCCTCATGCAAATATAATTTCAACTGATACAATAGATAATATTGAAAATGATTTAATTAATAATGAAAATTTTCAATCATTAACATCTATTCCACCTACATCAAATATTTCACTTTCATCGACTCAAACTGGAATGGCAACAATATCTGAAATGAATGATAATAAAAATGGATTTGAAAATATCGAAACACCATCAAGTACTGAACAAATAACATCTGTTCAAATACCAACAGAAAAACGTTCAGCTATTTTTTCTAATCAACGATCAATGAGTGTTATTGAATATGGTCAAATGAAACCAGATTTTGAAGAAGCAGCAGCACGTGCTCGTGTTAAAAATTCATTAGATACAACATTCTTTCAAAAACATAAAATCAGTTATCCAAATGTGTCAAATAATCGAACAACAAATTCATCTACTTTACGACGACGAGCAAGTTTTTCTGATGTAACATTTTTTTGTTTTCTTTTGTCTAATTATATATTCATATTTTTTCGTTGTCTTTTTTTCTTAGCCGGAATCTACAAATCTTTATTCACGATCATTAGGATCAGGAAGTGATAGTGGTGGAAGTGAATATAATGAAGGGATTGATGATTCAGATCTTCAAACTGAATGGCCGCAAGTTCGCAAAGCTCTAGCAACAGCACTTGGTTAGTTATTTCATTCTACAGAATGAATCATCTATAACACTACAATAAAATATTGAAATATTTGAGCTTCGATTCATTAAAATGGATGTTGAAGTATCGGAGTAGACATTTGGATCTTCCTCTCAAAGACGCGACAGCCATTGTTAATATACAATTAAAGACTGTGTATCAATAACGTCTCGTTATAATATATGAACTACTTTCTTACGACGTTTAGCTTTTGAGTTAATGATAGAAGTTTATTCAAAGTTTTTTTTTTCGTACAAATATTAGCATTCAGTACTAATGTTGACAACGCTCGAGAAATTTTACCTGTTGTCAATTATGAAAAATATATATGTGATGCTCGAAGTTAATTATCCGTTGTCAGCTAAGAAAATAAAAACAAGAGATCAGAACAATGTTATTACATTGAGTCGCCTGGAGCAAATTTTTTAGATTTGTTGACTTAGAAGTCAACATTTGCAATATTTCGAAATTCCAAGTATGGAACATTGCTTTTTACCCGAACGTTGCTGATTTAGTATCTTAACGATTTAATCGTGCATTTTCATTATCGGATACGAATTTCAATATATAAATTAAATAATTCTGAAAATTCGTTCTAGATGCATCAATGCAATAAGACTAACAGGTCAAATTTCTTGAGTGACATCAACAATAGAACTTAATAGTAATATTTGTTTACATTATTCATATGAAAAAAATCTGTTAAATAAACTTCTCATACTAACACAACAAAATCAGGATGTGAATGAAAACAATTTTCAGATCCATATATGATACTCACACTCTGAACTGAAGCAGAATTATTTCAAATTATTATTGTAGTGTTATTTATGGTTCATTTTGTAGTTTATTGTTATATGAAATATGTATTTGTTTTTCTTGAATAGGTTTTGAAGGAGATTTAGCATTACTTGATACAAAAGTTCATTTACATCGTTTACCTGATAGATATACATTAGTTAAAGAAGGTGAACAATTGAATAAATTATTTTTTGTTATACATGGTTCAATAGCAGCTTATATGAAAGAAATAAGTGGATCAAAAAAAGAACGTAATAAATTTTTAAATTGAAAATAAAA